CTAGTTTGGCTTTCTCCAAGTAGTAACTCCTTTCAGCCACACTGAGAAGCCTCCAACTCTCGCTAATCTTCTTATTGATCTCAGACTGTGGGAGGTGGGGCAGCTCCTGCTGAACTTTCAGGTAGATGTCATAATAGTACAGGAGGTAAGCCGACCTGAGGAAGAAATGACTTCTTAAGGTTTTCCCTCCTTAACTAGTAAATACTACAATGTTAGTGTTTAATAATGAAGAGGTAGACACAAAACTCAGTATTTCATTTCGAAGCATTTAACTAAATAAGAACTGGAGCAAAGAAACATTTAAATAAGATCCCTAGATGGTACATCAGAGGTTTCTCGCGTTAGAAACCAGGAAGCAAAGGTGTGTCTGATTTACTTCCATGGACCTCTTTTTCTGCAGGGATGTGTGGCTTTAAAACCCAATATGAGCAAAAACCGGCACAGATGCCCTGTCATTCCACCCTCAGGAAGGTTAGCGAGGGGGCTGATTACATAGTCGGGTCACCACTCACACAGCCTTGGGTCATCTCAGGCTGAGAGAGGGCAGCAAGTAGAATTATCAAAGTGACCCAATGCAGCAAGTATTCACAATTAAGAAGGAGAACAGAGCTATAATTTGAATCATCCTTATAGGTATCTTGGTACTATTTATAATGCCACGTTTTTATTAATGATTTATTCTAAATATATTTATGTACTAATAATGGTAATAATAACATGGTTATTTTGTACAGTAAATCTTCCCAAGAACACTGATAGGTTCTTGGAATTGTGGCAAAACAATGTATAATGAAACCAATTTTATCAAAGGCTAGTTAATATAAACCACATGTGTCAAACACAAGGCCCGCGGGCCAAATCCATCCCGCCAGGCCTTGCAATGTGGCCCGCACCGCGCTGTCATCACTGCACTCCGCTGCGTTTCCATCACAATGACAGCTTATGACTGTTCAGTAAACCATTCGGCCCGCGATTTAGGCTGGATTTTAGATTTTGGCCCCTTCTCTGATTGAGTTCGACACCCCTAATATAAACAAAAGTCCCTATAGCATCCCATCAGTGGTATAATGAAACAACATTAAAAAAACTGATGTTATTCGAGGATCTGCTGAGCACAGCTTCCACCATTGGTATGGTACAACTTCTTCTGACAGCCGGGAAACATGACCAAAATCTAGCCAGGAATGGCAACCACTGGCATCAGTCTCCCACTTACCGCTCCCCATCTCCTCTCCCACAGCCCCACTGCCCATTTAGAGACTTCTACTGACATGGCACGCTCAGTAAATATGGGTGCAGCTTTAAAGTCTTCCTCAATATAGCTCTCCAAGCAGCTACTGTTGATAAATGCCAGCCACCAAAACATGTTGACTAACCTGGGTTTCTTGGCTTTTTCTCCATGTATTTTATATTTTTTCTTCTTCTTGGGTGGCCCAGGGGAAGTGTAACAGTAGGATTCCTCAATTTCCTCCATCACAACAGTTACCTCAGTACCATCATATGATGCGTCCATGGCTAGAAGACAAACACAAATGTTTCAAGAATCCACCTTAAAGGGAACAGCAAATAGCTCCTTATCTCTCCCAGGCCTTACGGCTGAGTCATTCCCAAAGTCAGTACTCCTAAGAAATTCCTGGGGGGGCCGGGACTGGTTTGGCTCAGTGGATAGAGCGTCGGCCTGGGGACTGAAAGGTCCGGGGTTCAATTCCGGTCAAGGGCATGTACCTTGGTTGAGAGCGCATCCCCAGTAGGGGGTGTGCAAGAGGTAGCTGATCGATGATTCTCACTCATCGATGTTTCTAACTCTCTATCCCTCTCTCTTCCTCTCTGTGAAAAATCAATAAAATATATTTTTTTAAAAGCAAACGAACTTTATTAAAAAAAAAAGAAAAAAAGAAAAAGAAAAAGAAATTCCTGGGGGGTACTTATTAGACACAGACTTCAAGATTCCCCCTGGCCTTCTGAATCAGATTTTCCATAGGGTGTGAAAATTTACCTGCTTAATGAGTGCCTTAGGTGATTCCTTTGACCCGACAAATGGGGGAACACTAATTTAGCCCTTTCACTTAGAGGTTACTCACAGTAATCCTTTGACTCAAAGATTTCAGTGCCACATTATAAGAATCCCAGAAGTTCCCTTCCTCATCCTTCATCAACTTAAGCAAACTGCTTAATTCACTCATTCATTCAGACATGTAAGAGATTTAAAAAAATATATATATATATATATTTTATTGACTTTTACAGAGAGGAAGAGAGATAGTTAGAAACATCGATGAGAGAGAAACATCAAACAGCTGCCTCCTGCCCACCCCCTACTGGGGATGTGCCCGCAACTGGAATTGAACTTGGGACCTTTCAGTCCGCAGGCTGACGCTCTATTCACTGAGCCAAACCGGTTTAGGCATGAGAGATTTCTTTTATACTCTGCCAACTTGTGTGACTTCGGGCAGGTCCTTTAGCTGCAGGTTCAGTTTTCTTATGGATAAAAAAAAGATGCCTCACCCATCTTACTACAGATTTTTACTGGCAGGACTCAAGGACATCATAGCAACAATCCTATCTGAGAATAGTCGATTGCTTTACAAAAGAAAGGGTTCATTATGAAAGATGAATAAACTTTGGCTGAGGTGCTAACGACCTCCCCAAGGCCACCACAGCAAATAGGACTTGCATTACAGATCCCCCCCCCCCCCCCCCAATTCAAAAACCCAATTATCTAGGCTTTTCATTATACTACACTGCTCCCCAACTCCACTGGCAACTCTCTAAACCAGTAGAGGTCAATAAATATTCTGTGATGACAGAAATGTCCTATTATTTGTGTTCTCCAATATTATGGCTAATGATCATCCGAAAATATGGCTGATGTGATTAAGGAATTAATCTTAATTGTAATGAACTTAAATAGCTACATATGGCTAGTAGCTGCGGCACTGAGTAGCACAGGTGTAAACAGTAATCTGCCAGACCAACATTAGCTCTCTGCCACTGGTCTAAGAAACAGAAAATCTATAACAGCTTTTCCTAGTTAGAGAAAGGCATACAACAGCTGAATGAGTTAGTTGTGGCTACATTTTAAGTTGAGACTCAATCCTTGGAGGCAGAAAGGTTCCCAAAAACCAAGTGAATTTTATGAGAATGAAATAACATGCTTGCTCCTAAAAATCTGTCAGTTTTTGGAGAGAATTTAGGATTCTGGGAAGGAGTTGCGGTAGTAAACCCAGGGCTGACCTGTGTATTACAAAGCCCACTCACATCTCAGTTAGACCTCACTACACAGATGGTAAGGTATCATATGGGGTATAATGAGAAAGACAGCACAGCACGTTGAGTCAGGAGACCCGGATCCAAGGCTAATGCTCTCACCATGTCATCCCTGACAAGCCGTAAATTTCAGTTTGTTCCTCACATGAGACAAAGAGACTGGAATCAGTGACTCCCAACTTTTTGGGAGGCAAGAATCCCTTGGAGGATGCTGTGAAAGCTAAAAACACCTTTCGTAGAAAATACAGACAAAAAAAAAAAATTCACCTAGAATTTTAAAGATGTACTCTAGGATAAGAACACAGTATTCTATTTCCAAAGTTATTTCTAGTTCTGTGTCATCTCTAAAATTATTTCCCTTCCCATTGTAAAACACACACACCCACCCCCACATACTGTCTGTCATAGTGCAACCCTGACAGAGAACATAACCCACAATTTGGCTGGGTAAGAGGCCAGTGCCTTCAATGGGTAAGGGAAGCTAGAGTTCAATTTAACGCCATGCGAGTACTGTACTTTTTTGCCCTTAAGAACTGATTTCTCAGCCCTTCAGAGTCTTGCAGAGAAAAGCAATAATTGCAAGAGAGCACATAGGGTTTTGGCACCCAGAGCCTGGGTCTACGATTGCCTTCAGATCCTAGGCCTCAGTACAGCAATGCCCCTTCCCCCCGCCAAAAAGAAAAAAAAAAAGAAGAAAAAAAAGGCAGGACAATATAAAGGTTAAAACCAAGGCTCTGAAGGGCAGAAAAATGGGATTCTAATTTAAATTACAGATTTTAACAGCGCCCGCAGAGCTCTGTGACCTTGGGCAATCTACTCTAAGTCTTAAGTTTTCTCACCTGCAAAGCAGAGTTACGGGCAGTGCTAGCAATCTGCGAGACACTTCCCGTCCCTTCCTATTCTCCTCCCAACCTCATGTGACAGCGTGGACGGCTCAGCTATGGGCCATGGTTGGACTCTGGATGAGTTTCTTTCCCTCCCTGGGTCCCACAAACCTCAAAGGTGCCGAATACGAATGCGGGAGGAGACTACGGTTCACGGCTCCTACTTTGCAGAAGGCAACGGGGGCTCGGGAGCCACCCCGCCCAGCTCGCTCCAGGTCGCCTAGCCTTAGCCGGTCGCGGCGCGGAGCGGCGTGGCGCTCAAGGGCGGGACTTACCCCGAGGAGCGTGGACACCGCGCGGCTCACATTCCCGGAGGCGCCCGGCCCGGGGGCTCGACGAGCGGGCTGGCCCGCGCCCTCGCGCTCCCCGCTGCCGGCGAGAGGCGGCTCCAGTCGTGACAGTGGCAACAAGGAAGTGGAGGCGAGGGCTCGCGCGCGCATCCCGGGGGCTGGAGGAGCCCAGGACCCGCGGCCCCGCCCGGCGACACACGGCGCGGAGTCGCGACAACCCCTCTCGCTGCTCCTCCTCCTCCTCTGGGTCGCGGTAGGTGGTCTTGGAGGGCGGGTGTGGGAGCACAGGTCACTCCGCAGGGTCTTCCGCGACGCCTGCAGAGGGCCCGGGGAAGACGGCAGAAACGCGGGCGTCGCCGCGGCACCGGCTCGGCGCTGGGGGCGGCAGCAGCGGTAGCTGGAGCAGCAGCAGCAGTAGCAGCAACAGTAACCTCGGATCGCCTGGGAGACCCGTCCCGGCGGCCCTCGCGGCGCACCGGAAGCGGCCGCCGGAGTGCCTGCGTGAACCCCTCGCGCAAGCGCAGCAGCCCAACCCCAGCTGTAGGGGCGGGCCCGTAGGAACAGCTAGTAGATGTAGAGGGGACCGCTAACGGGGACGAACTACTTCCGGCCGGAAGTTCTGGAAGGGGGAGGGAGCTGTGGTCGCTCGAAGTGGGAGGTCCTTGCTCCCCGGCCCCCAGTCATTGGCCTAGGGCTTTCAGGTAACTGGGGCGGGGCTGTGCCGGGAGTGAGGGATAGGCTCCGCTTCACCCCTCAGCTGCGTCGGGTTCTGGGACGCACCACCACAGTCAGCACCGCGGCCGAGGCCCGCCCCCTGCCCTCCTCCTTCAGTCCCCGCTGGTTCAGGATGGGCTTCTCCTTAGTGTTGCACCAAGCCGCCCTCCTCACTGCGGCGTTCTGCCCTCAACCCGTCCCTCTCACCGCTCCCCACACAGGTATGGTGGTGAATTTTCGGGAGTGCTTCATACTGAACTGAATGACCCCATGGAAGGCCCTGGAATCAGATGTGGATTGTATTGTCCTTTCCCGCCGATGTCACAGATTGTGATTGTCCCACATTGGTACAAGTCCCCGCACGACCCTCACTCTTCTTTATATATTTATTTTATTCTTTTCCAAGATCATTTATCCCCTCTATGCCCTCTTCCACTCCCACCCACCCACGACCATCGTATCTTGCAAATGTGTTTCCAAAATGCCTACTCTTGTCTAGCTACCACTGTCACCCAACCTTTTCCCAGTCACCATCATATCCTGCCTGGACTGATGCAATTTCTTCCCACCTCCCTCTTTGTCCTTCTACACACAATAGCCAGACTAATCTTTTTGCACTGTAATCTGACAAATCACCCCCTGCTTAAAACCCTCCGAGTCTTTTGGTTCACTCTTCGACTATAAATCAAGTTTCTTAGTTTTGGACCTACAACATTTTGGTTTGGCTCTTGCTTCATCCTCTTTCCATGTCAATTCCCAGAACAAGCTATATAGCACTCTATAGTATTAACACTTGTGAGCCTTACCTGGGTTTGAATTCCAATCCTGCCACATGAAAGCTGCACTAAGCATGTAAAGTAACAAAATATGTTTATGAAGTAGATCCTCCAAAATTGGTTCTCGTCTCAGTAAATGGCACCACCATCCACTGGATTACTCGGTGCTCAAGCCAGAAATCTGGGAGTTATCCTTGACTCATGCACTTCACATCCAGTCCATCAGCAAGATCTGCAAAAACAGTCATCACTGCACTCCGTTGCGTTTCCATCACAGTGACAGTTTATGACTGTTCAGTAAACCATTCGGCCCGCGATTTAGGCTGGATTTTAGATTTTGGCCCCTTCTCTGATTGAGTTCGACACCCCTAACATAGAGGATGCCATGAATAGACAGACAGATGTGTGGAGGTGGTGGTAGAAGCCATTTCTCAGAAGAGGCAGGCAGCATAATGTCACAACAGCTTTTCTTGTCCTTTGAGGATTCTCATGATAAAAGGTCTAAGCAGGCAATTACCAAAACTGCTACAGCTGGATTGTGTTTATTTTCTTTGTAGCACATAACACACTCTAATTCATCTACTTGTTTATCTCCCCCACCACATTATATTTCATAAAGGTAAAGACCTTCACTATGTTGTTCATCACAGAATCCTTACCACTTGACACTTGAAAATATTCATTAAATGAATGCATGGCTACCATAAACATCTTCCCACAGTGAACATCCTTCCCAGGCAAATGGTGGTAGAGTTTGGTAGAGCTTTGAAGTTCTCATTTTGGTGGAATTTCAGGCAGAACTATGGAGTGGCAGAAAAAATCTGAACCAAAAAAATCTGAGCTATATTAACCTAGATAGACCCCTTCCCTGGGCCTCAATTTCTGCATTTATAAAACAACTCATATAATCCCTTGAATTTATATAGTGCATTGCTATTTGCAAATAACTCTTACCGTCTATTATTTCAGGCTATTCTTATAGTAGATGGAGCAGACACTGTTATTATTTTTATGGAGGCTCAGGAAGTATAAATAAACTAGATTATTTGTAAGATCTCTTCTTGTTCAAATGTTCTAAAGTAACCTCTACAAAAAGTCAATAGCATGAATCCTATCTTCTCTTGACTTTGGCCTTATATTATCATTTCCTAATTGAATTTTTTAAAAAGGATTTTTAAAATTTATTGGGGGGGGGGGGAGAAAGGAGGAGAAAGAAAAATTGATGGGCTGCCTCCTGTATGCCCTCTACCAGGGATTGAGCCCATAACCTGAGCAGTTCCCTGATTGTGAATCATACTGGCAACCTTTTGCTGCATAAAATGATGCCCAACTAACAACCATACTGGCCAGGGGTCCTAATAGGAATTTTTTTTTTTTTAAATTTGAACCCATCTGTTAGGGTCAATTCATTATCTTTAGTTCCTGATCTGTACTCCATTTTGCCTTCTCAGTTTTCCGCACTTGTGGCAAAACAAAACACGAGAAGGAAAAGACACAGCCTGGTAGTTGTGGCCCAATCCTCATTCTGCAAATGTGGCAAACAAGGGGAACAAGAAATGTCAGCAGTTCTCCCTGGAAGAGAAAATGAAAGTTGTAAACTAGACTCAGGCAAGGGGAAAGATGATGTGGCAAAAAAATTGGTATCACTCCTATTATACTTCATCTACATTCTTAAGGGATTGTGCCAAATTTGAAGAAAAGGTGAGGAGGCATTTGTGGAAGCCCAGTGGAAAAGGATGAGGAACACTCTCCATGACGACATCGATAAAGCTGTTTTGCTTGGGTTCAAGAAATTGGTGCCAAAAACATTCTCGTGACTAGTTCTGTCATTTGGAAAAAAGCACTAAATTTGGCCAACATGCTTAGCTATGACAATTTTCAAGGAAGTGTGGGCTGGCTGAACAAATTAAGGGATCTCCAGAAATTGCTTTGAAAATAGTCTATAGAGAATAGTGACAGATTAATGAATGGTCTAGGACAGTGGTTGGCAAACAGCGGCTCACAAGCCATGGTTTGCTGCTCTATTGACTAATGAGTTGCTAACCTCTGGTCTAGGAAAAGATAAGGTTAATGAGTGTCATGCAGGGGAAATTATAAAACTGACTAGTGGTCCGGTGCACAAAATTCATGCACATTAAAAGGGGATTAATTAGAGGAAATAATTTAATATTGCTACTTGCCCTTTCTCTATAATAGAAGTGTCAGAGATGAAAGAAAATTAGTAAAATTTTGAAAATATATGAAAATCTTCCTCCTGTCAGAGTCTGGGGAGCACCACAGGACCCAGAGTCATGTCCCTGCCCACCCACATGCACCTCAAAATCGCATGAGACCCAGACCCAGCTGCACTCCTCCCCCCAATTGGGCTAGATCCAGACCCGGCCAGTTCCACCCTTGTCAAGCCCTGCCAGGCAGGGGCATAGCCTCAGGTCCCCTGGCCTGGTACCAGGATGGGGGGTGTGGCCTGAGGTCCCCCAACCCAGACCAGGGTGAGGGGGCATGCCTTGAGGTCCCCTGTCAAGCCTCACAGTAGCGAAGGAGGGCATAGCTTCAGGTCCCTGCTGATTGCTTGTTAAGGCTTCTTATGGGAACTTGGCCTCAGCTGTGGATGCAGCCATCTTTGTGATGGAATGATGGTCAATTAGCATATTCTCTCTTTATTAGATAGGATTGCTGACTGTAGCCCAGATGATATCTTTAATGTTAACAGGACATAAGTGTTTTTGCAGTTGCTTCCCTAGCACATGCTGGTTGCTAAAGGGGACAATTACAGAGGGGACAAGAAAGCAAAAATAGTAATTGACAGCACTTCTTTGTTGTAATGGGGGACAGAAAGAAAAGATTGTTGATAGGTCAGCCAACCCATATTGCCTTAAGAACAGCCAGCCTGGCTGGTGTGACTCAGTGATTGAGTGTTGACCTAGGAATCAAGAGGTCATGGTTTGATTCTAGGTCAGGGCACATGCCCAGGTTGCAGGCTCTACCCATGATGGGAGCTATGTAGGATGCAGCCAATCAAAGATTCTCATCATTGATGTTTCTCTCTCTCTCTCTCTCCCCCTCTACCTTCCTCTCTGAAATCAATAAAAAATATATATTTTAAAAAGAAAAGCCAGCCAGTGAGTACAGATGACACCGAATCTGTTTTATGAGTGGCTGATGCAAATGGATGAAGTGGGCAGAATGCCAAATCCTCCTGCTGTTTTGACAACTCCACCCACAACATGCTTCCATGCTTGGAAAGGATTCAGGTGGGGTATCTTCCCTCAAACTACTGCTGTGCTGCAGCCACTTAATCTTGGCATAATTCAAACCATGAAAGTGATGTACAGGAGCCACCTTCTAAAACTTTCTCAAACTCAACAGCAGTGCGGATCAAGGAAAAGTGAATATCAAGCAGGCTATTGTCATGATTGCTGCAGCATGGTGGTCAGTCATGCAGTTCACAGTGGTGAAAGGCTGGCAGAGAGCAGGCAGTGTCCCCATAGATTTAACAGGTTCTGCCAGAGAAACAGCAGTCAGTGAACCAGATATTGCCATTGAAAAGTTGTAGCCCTCAGTGGCTATTCCCACCAGTGTCTCAAACGAAGTAAATTTCCATGATTTTGTCACTGTAGATTATGACCTTGTTATCTTTCAGGAGCTGATGGACACAGAGGTCATCCAGGGAATAGAGGCTGGCAAAAATACTGGTGAAGCTAGAAATGAAGATGAGGGGGAGGCATCTTTTTACCACAGCAGCCAAAAATCACCATCACAGAGGCCATCTCAACTGTACAGAAACCTAGATAGTTCCTTTCCACTTGTGTAGGCATTCCTGATGCCTATTTTGGACAGCTAAATGGCATAGATGAATATTTAATGAGAAGAGTAACATAGTCTTGTCAACTCCAAAATTATAGATTTCCTTCAAAGAAAATAATGTAGGCATTATTTTGCCTCTTACTTTGGAAGATGTGACTTTTAAGAATCTTTGAATCTTTAAATTTCTTTAGATAGGATATTGAACTTATATTTTAAGCAATATAATTGTAACAACATTCTAGTCCTCTGAAATAATCAGGAAACTTCCTTGAATGGAATTTGGAAATAAAACTTAATGAATATGTGTGTTCTCTTTTGATTAACCCAGTGGCTCCCAAATTTGTCTGAACCTTAGAATCACTTGAGGATTTTTTTATTTTATTTCCAAAGCCATATACCTGTTCAATTAAATCATGATCTCTGATGATAGGTCATAAGCATTAGCAGTTTTTGAATCCTCCTGGGTGATTCCAATGTGCAAAAAAGTTTGGAAACTACTAGATTAACTGCAGGAAAATCAAGCATCCTATGGGCCTGGAGCCAGTTTCTTCCCAGTAAGTCTAGCTCAGTAGTTTCCAAATTTTAGCTCACTTCAGAATCACTTAGAAGACTTGCTAAAACCCAGATTGTTGGGCTCTACCTCTGGAGTTTCTGATTCAGTGGGTTCTAGGTGGGACTCAACAATTTGCATTTCTAACAAGTTCCCAGCTGATGCTGATGTGGTTCAGAGTCCATACTTTGAGAACTACTGTTGTAGCTGGATCCTAGCATTTCTTTTTTCAGCTGGCCATCTGAATACTCCCATCACTGTTAAAAAAAAAAAAGAATAATCTGTTCCTAATATATACTAGAATCTCAAGAAAGTTGATGGAAAGAAGAGTAAAGTAAGTACTAGAATCTCAAGAAAGCTGGAATCAAACTAGAATCTCAAGAATGTGTGGCCTGCCCTGGCCAGTTTGGCTCAGTGGATAGAGCATCAGCCTGCGGACTAAAAAGTCCCAGGTTGGATTCCGGTTGGGGGCATGTACCTTGGTTGCATGTACATCCCTAGTAGGAGATATGAGGAGACAGCTAATTGATGTTTGTCTCTCATCAGTGTTTCTAACTCTCTATTTGTCCTCTTTCCTCTCTGTAAAAAATAAAAAAATATTAAAAAAATAAAAAGAATGTGTGGCCTAACTTGGTAGAGAGAAGGAGCAGGCAGCCTGGCAAAGGCAAACTCACAGACATGGGTATGGAGTGTAAGAAGCCAATGGTCTACTGGGGCAACATGCACACTGAACTGTACAGAATAACCAAGTTGGAAGTGCAGATTGTGGTCAACTCTAGAGGATGCTAAAATTTAGCTGAATAATCTAGTCTTTTATTTTTTCCCCATTGGTCACAAATTTATTCATAGAATTTTAAAAATACGTTTTTATTGATATTTGAGAGGAAGGGAGAGAAATAGATAGGAACATGCCCCTACTGGGGATCAAGGCATAACTGGGATCAGGAATCGAACCAGTGACTTTTGGTTCATGGGTGTATATTCAATCACTGTGCCACACTGGCTGGACTACTAATATAACTTTAAGCATTTAATCTAATACAGCAGATTGCCTTATTTTTATTAAATTTATTGGGTGACATTGGTTTACAAAACCATACAGGTTTCAAGTGTACAACTCAACAAAACATCTGCACACTATATTGTATGTCAATTGTCCCAAGCAAAGTCTCTCTCCATCCCCCCCTTCCCCTTTGCCCACCTTCCTCTCTCTGAGCTTCCATTTTAGCCACCAGGATATGGCTCTGGAGGGTGTGGGCCACTTCTTCCGTGAGTAGGCTGAGGGGAAGCACAAGGGTGCTAACTGTCTCTTAAAGATGCAAAACCAGTGCGGCAGCAAGGCCTTCTTTCATAAGGTGCAGAAGCTTTCTCAAGATGAGCGGGGTAAAACTCAGGATGCCATGGAAGCTGCCATGACCTTGGAGAAAAACCTGAACCAGGCCCTTTTGGATCTGCATACCCTGGGTTCTACCAGCACAGACCCTCATCTCTGTGACTTCCTGAAGAACCACTTCCTGGATGATGAGGTGAAATTCATCTAGAAGATGGGTGACCACCTGACTAACCTCTGCAAGCTGGCCAGCCTCAAGGCTGAGCAGGTTGAGCATTTCTTCAAAAGGCTCACCCTCAAGGATGACTAGGAGCCTTTAGAGCACATGTGTCAAACACAAGGCCCGCGGGCCAAATCCGTCCCGCCAGGCCTTGCAATGTGGCCCACACCGCGCTGTCATCACTGCACTCCGCTGCGTTTCCATCACGACAGTTTATGACTGTTCAGTAAACCATTCGGCCCGCGATTTAGGCTGGATTTTAGATTTTGGCCCCTTCTCTGATTGAGTTCGACACCCCTACTTTAGAGGCTAGAAGCCTTTGAGGACCCTTCTGCATCCCCCTAGAGTCTGGATTCTTGTTTGAGCTTCTCCCTGAAACCATTAGGCATCTTTTTAACTCTCCTATATTTTGAGCCAAATGTTAAATTTTTTTGCAGCAAACACAAAGTAAACTAAGAGTTATTGATTGCCTATTATATCTCAAACAGTGTTTCAGTTATTAGAATTTCAAGAAAACCATAATACAAAAGGACAAATAGGCTCAGATAATGTCATTCCAATGTTGCAGACCTATTGAAGAACCGTTCATGCTGAGGCCAGTTCTTTGAAATAGATTGTGGTAGCATATCCTGGCCACCAGAGGGCAGAGGTAGACTACATAAAGGAGACAATTTAGCCAACTGAAGAAACCTTAGGAGCAGTCACTTGTAATTTCTCTTAAGTTAGAGACTGAGAGGAAAAGTACTGCAAAAGGAAGACTGAGAACTGTCCTTATCCCTATATCCACACTTCTGCTTCTTCCAACAAATTGAGAGACATCTGGGAAGGACATCTGGGAAGAGGCTTCACTGCAGGTATGGGGAGATGGTGAGAGTGCAGATTATTCTCAGAAAGCGTTACGCTCTATTTAGGAATCCACTCCCAATTCTCTAAGACCTTATCCTCAATTGACTGATGAAAAAAATGTGACTCAATTCACTTATTAAAATGCAGAGTTGGGCAGTAGTAAAACATGAATTAGATTTAGGAGTCATGCAACATGAAAACTGGAAGGGTCCTCAAACAATCTAGTCCTCCTTCCCTCTTCACTGATGGAAAAATTAGTACCCAAAGTTTTGACCTACTCATTAGGATCACAAGCAAAATGAGTTTCTTTATGCTTTGTGGCTTTCTATAAGGACAGATCCTTTTGCTACATTGAGAAACATTAATGACTGAATCACTCTCCAAAGGTATAGAGATGCTATTTTAAAGCTCATGGTGACCTAAATGTACTTCTTAGTTAGAACCCCACCTTGCACTTAAATAATTTAGACACAGAATATTTTATTAGCATAACAATTTATTAGCAAATGAAATAACACATATAGGATCTTATGTAGTAAACATCATGAACATATCCTTCCAGAGAAAAAGGATCTGCTATTAATCAACTCCCCCTCTCCTACAATAGGCTGCAATCATCAATAACTTATTCCATAGAACAGAGGTGGGGAACCTTTATTCTGCCAACGGCCATTTGGATATTTATAACACCATTTGCAGGCCCTACAAAATTACCAACTTAAAAATTAGCCTGCCATATTTCGTCAAACATTTAATTAATTCACCCCTAATGTTTTGGCAGGGCCAGACCTAATGATTTCGCAGGCCTTATATGGCCCTTGGGCCAGACATTCCCCCCACTGCCATAGAGGGTTAAGTATGATTTATGTGGAATAGCATCAAGGCACTTGCTTTAATTAAAAAAGATATATGTGGTATAAAACATTCCTAAAAGTCACTGCCCTTGAATAATTGAAAAAAAAAAAAGGCAGTATACTCTTTTAGTGAAGTGACAAGACTCAGAATTTGGTTAATTTATATATCACCCTGATATTGTCTTAATTTGTATATAAAATTGCAAGGAGACAAAAGGTAGCATTTTAATTAAAGATTGATTTGTTCACACTAATTTTTGAGACATCATGGCAGCATCAGAATTCAAACAGTAATTTCCCAACTGATTTGAATTAAAAGACAACAGCTGTTTCGCTCCAAGTATTATCTTATTATTTTAGGAATGGAGACTGTGGCAGGGGAAGAGAACTTCTTAAAGTAAGTTTATTAAATCTGCAATTAAAAATATTTTCTGGCTTAGGCTGCTTGTCTATTTGCCAATTTAAAAACCTTCAGTTAGAAATTTAGTCACTGGTATTTTATAATAAGATTGTGATTATTTGTCATTTTTCAGAGTCATAAATCAAGTCCAAGCAAAGTTATATGCCTGGTTCCAGTGTAGACTTACAAACAATGTATCTCCAGTAAAGGCATTTAGTGTCGTTTTCATAATTCAATATATCTTCCTATTTTACTTCACTAAGAGGAAAGGAAAATACATACCAAACCCCCTACAATCTAATAAAATGCTTATTTAACATGCTTACATCAAAATTTAAAGTGCAAAAAACTTTTAAAAAAATAATCCTTGTCAGGATAAAAATTATCTTATAAAAATAAATCTCCCCCACTCCCACATCCAAATTCTCCATTCCTAGTTACTAATAAATTTTTTTTAAAAAACTAAAATGTACGTTGAAGTTACAGTATTTCAATGGAATTTTACTTTAATAATAGGTTGATAACAAACCAGCTGGTATATTATTTTGGCCTGTTCCATTATAATTTTCATTCTTGTTATTAGCACTCTAATTAATGATTCCATTTATGATTATCTAAAATCTTTCTACCAGCGTTCTCCTCTTGGGAGCATGCCTGAACCTTTTCCTTCCTCACTCTCCCCACCAGGCTTTGCCTTTCTTCCTCCTCAGCTCCAAGGGCCCTTCTTTTGCTTCTGCAACATGTTTCCTGAGCTCAGGCAGCCCCGCTGATTCACTTCTACTACCCATGTAACTTTCTAAATAAACTTAATCTGAAACAAACACACAAAAAATCTTTACTTTTAAAAAAAAAAGCCAAATTACTTCAGAGCATAAAAGTTTTCTAGATCCAATTTCCTCCTTTTGCAGTTTTTAAGCCATTTCAAATAAGGCATCACTATAACAGATAAAGAAACATTGCAGGGTGCGGGGAGAAACATTAAAGAACAGAAAAAATTAAGCAAAGTCTAAATCCTATGGAATGATGTCCCTGTGGAATTGTTCCCTGAACAGATGGAGGCATCCCTGCCTCCTTCTTTGCCTCGATTGCCTACCTCCTGCTAAGACCTCTGTCCAGGCTCAGTCCAGCTCCTCCATAAAGCACCTCCAAGTGCCAATGTGTGTCACTGAGTTACCACATGGTTCACCTACTGGATTTGGTATCAGAGTCCCGGAACCCTAGAGTTCTGCATAGGTCTTCAGGAAGTGTTTGAGGAATTATCTATATTGATGCAAAAACATACAGTTCATCTATTCCACTACATAGAGGAAAACAATTCATTAAAAACTTTAATAAGGCTCAAGACCTTGAATTTATCATTATAACTCCTACCTAGACTCAATTTTAAGTTCTGAAGAAATACACTGCAGCCCTTTTTTAAGATCAGAGCTAACACCCAGACAAATTACTAAGAGAACACAATATACATTTAAAGAACATTTACCATACTGTAAATTTAGCGACAAATCTGGCTTCAATGTCTACTATTGTTTAAAAGCTAAGTCAGTCTACCCAAATCTTGTTTTCCTTTGGTCTCAATGGAAAATTTTTTTCAAGTAATTGCCAACTAGACATCTGTCCATTTTACTCCCATCAGAGGCACAGACAGTACTATCGTCACTAGTGCTCCACAGTAGGTCAACCTGGGCCTTTGTCCCAACGCCGGCTACTGCATGCTCCTCAACTCTCTCAAATTTGGTGAATCTGTGCCCCTCTCCTGGAAGCAGAACCCAGTTTTGACCTTGCTCTCAAACTAAGGTGTGGCTTCTAATCCTGACCTCCCTACAGTTATGCAGGGTTAACCAGGGATTGGATCCTATTCAACTGAATGCCTCTGTTTTCTCCCTTGTTTAGTCAGAGATGGTCTTTTCAATGATCTATTCCTTTCACCCTTCCTCTGAATGTCAATCCTCAGTCTCTCTGTGCATGAGTACCCTCCACTCCTCTTATTATAGCAAATTAAAAAAATAGAAGGTTGTAAAGTTTTAACGATTAAGTGTGTACACAATACATTTCAATTAAATGACCATTTTAAGATATTCAGAATTTTGTACATTTGTCAATAAGCAATGAGAAATTTTCATTTAGACATGAAAATTAGAGTAAGCAAGATATTTTTGTATCAATAAAACTTGTAAAACAATACATAGTGAACTAAAAGTGAAAGACTTTGAGCAAGAAAGCAAAGGAAATGAAATCCTAGTGAATTAAGCTTTGGTTTCACATTTGATTTCTTCAAACCACCAGGAAAAAAATTTTAAGACATGTACATATAGGCCAAACTCAACCCAAGCAGAAAGTGTAAGATATAAATTCTTAGGAAATCTTAAATGTTTTTACAACTAGTTACCAAAAGCAGAATCTTTTTTGCTTGAGTGGGAGAGATACTAATTAAAGCACAATTAAAGACTTTGCTAAATGCATAAAGCTCCAGAATTGTTCATATCCACAAATGAAGAGAAAGGTTAGATAAAGGTCAAATTCTGTCACTCCATTCTGCTAAGGAGCTTTTCAACTTTTTTATACTTTTTTTTTCTTTTTTACTGTGCTAATGTTTGCTAAATTATAGAGTTGTCTTAAACATGTACTCTACTCTGTCAGGCAGCAGTAGACATCTATAATGGTCTGGATTCAAACTTAGCTTGAGGGAGGAAGGCAAGAAGTATTAAAAACAAATGATTAACCAACAGAAAAGAATGCATAAAAGCTTCCAAAGGAACATCAATAATTAATCTGTACATGTTTTAGTGAAAACAAAGCTAATGCTTACTGCCATGCATTTCTATTTCAGGAAGACTACCAATCCCCAATTGACCCTTGCTAAAATGCCATGGGAAGGAAAGAAATCACTAAGTAACAAATTCTTAAGGGCAACTGCCAATCATTCCTATTTGTAATCTGTCCTTAACAGTTTGCCTCAAGCTCATTTAAAATACTGTATAGAATTGCAGAGTCAGCATTCTGTCTTTTATCTAGCAAGCTTGTCATTGGTAATCAGACATAGCAGTTTAGGACAGATTCCATGGAAAATACACTAAATTACTGAAAACTAAGGAATTACCTGCATTGATTCCAAAAAGAACTATAGCTCATCTATAGCACTACCAAATTCATTAAAAACATTAATAAGGATCACAGACCCTGAATATATCATTATAACTCCTAGACTCAATTTTAAGTTGAGAAACACTCAGAAACAGGAACAGAGATTACAGAAAAGTCAGGGAAGATTCCCATTATTTTTGCTGATTATGAAGAGCTCTTTGCTTAGCTCCTTACAACAAAAAGGTATGATGAAAAACTGACTTACAAAGAATGTTCTGTATAATGTGAAGTTAGCTGGTAGGATTTCACAAACATACTCAACCATCAGTCTTCTGATGGGTCTGTGCCTATGGTTTCCTGCCTTTAGGAAAGGAATAGTACTTTCCTATTAAAAGTCAAAGATCTCACTGCTATCTGGAGGGCAGAGACTGGGTATGGGGAAGTAAAAATAAGAAGAAAAAAAACTTGAATAGTTATTACCTTGTGCTCCAGAGGTCTCTTGATCTGTTGGTCCAGTATCAGACACAACAGTCTTTCCCTGCCTCCTTTCCACTCTCTCCCCAAAGAGCCAATCATATAGGCTAGAGCATGTCTCATGTAAATGCCAATGTCACTCCTTTACCTCCTAGAGAAGGAAGAGTCCAAATGCATATCTCCTCAAAGAGGATGGTCATACTTGGACAGTGTGGCTCAGTTGGTTGAGTGGTATCCTATGCACCAAGAAGTCACTGGTTCAATTCCTGGTCAGGGCATATGCCCACATTGCAGAAGGGATCTGATAGATATTTCTCACATTGATATTTCTATTTCTCTTTCCCTTTTCCTCATCTCTCTCAAAAACAAAAAATCAATAAAAACTTTTTTTTTTTAAAGACGATGATCATGATCATTAAGGTTAAGGGCTACTTCACAGTTCAATAGATATTTAATACCAAGAGCACTCCCTATTTGCAAGAAAGCTTAAAACCACAACATTTTCTTCTGATTCTGCCCAAGTATAAGCTCTGCTGCACTTCTGTATCTACGAAGGCCATCAGCTTCTAAGAATAATGACTAGCCAATAGGTTAAAATTTCAAGTATGCAAGTTGCTACTGGCTAGACATTGTTCTTCTTTTCATCTACTTATCCAATTGGTCACTGGAAAGACTCAGACCATTGGGAAAACATATTCCTTTCTGATTTTGACATTCTTCTGCAAAAGCTATCGCTTCATATACACTATAAAAGAGGCTTTCATCTTCCTTTTTGCAATACTCGCCCCGGGCCAGGGAATCCTTCACAGAGGGATTGCATTGAGCCAGTAGAACTTGTATGCCAATGGCTTCATAATCTCTGCGAACTTCTTTCAGTGTATGGATCCCTGCTGTATCTAAAAATTGGATTGCACTGCAGTCAATCACTATGGTATGGAGTCCCAAGGGATCATGGGAAAGTTGCACTGAAACTTCATCCTGAATTCCACTGAGAGTCACTGTTTCCTTTTTTATCTTTCTCTTTGCTGCCTTCTTCTGAGCTGCCTTCACTAAGATTGGGTTGAGGGTTTTTTTGTATAAAGCAGATTTAAAACATTCTTTGTTTATGTAGTAGAGAGGGGCTACAAAGCGGAAAATCTTGATGCCTGGCTTAGCCTGAAGGTTTTTGTAAGCAGATGTGGATTCAAAAATTCCCGCTTCTTCCACTAAGCCAAGCAATGAACTCTCCGGCTTCTGAGTACGGAGGATGACACAAAACATAGAAAAACAAACACCTATAAGCAGGCCCATTTCAGTACTTATCAGTGCAGAGGAGAGCATAGTTACAAACCAGATAACTGTATCCATTCTGCTAACCCTCCACATCTTGGGCAGATCCTTAAATTTACATAAAGCTCCCCGGAGATTTACAATAGTGATCACACCAAGGACACTTTTCTGAAGGGAATAGAATAAAGGAGCTATTACCAGGAGGACCAACAAAAGAACCAGAGCTGTCACTACACCAGAAAGCTGAGTTTGACAGCCTGTTGATTCTTTAACCAATGTTTTTGCAAGAGCTGCACTAGTAGTGAAACAGTGGAAGAAGGAGGGGATGATATTGCAAAAGCCAATGGCATACATTTCCTGGTTAGCTCTGACTGGGTAACCATGTTTCTTGGCAAACATCTCAGAAAGTGATACAGTGATAGCAAAGCCAATGATAGACATAGCTATTGCATCTATAGCTACACTAGGAATTAAGTTCCAGTCTGGTGCTTTGGGTGGCATAAACCCAGTGGGAATATGTCCAGCAATGCTGGTATTGTATTTCTCATTCAGTTTTCCAAAATGAGAGGCTAATGTCGCTGCCACAACGACAATGAGTTCAGTAGGAATTGGTGCCTTAAGCTTGGATTTGAAGTGCTCATTGAGTTCTTTGGTTGGCAAAAGAACCAAAAGGCACAAAAGGCTGGTGATGAGATCACAGAGATTGGTCTTATGGATGTTTCTGAAGATATGTATCCAAGTAGTGATGAGTGAGCCCACGCCACTACTCCGAGGAAGGCTGAGCCCAAGGAGATACTTGGCCTGAGATGTAAGAATAGTGAAGGAGGCACCAGTGACAAATCCACTCAGCAAGGCATCTGAGAGGTAGACGGAAACAAAGCCCACTTGAAAGAAGCCCATCGCTACCTGGAAGGAAGAGTATACAAGTGTTAAAATATAAATGGAAAAGAGTCACTAAATTCTGTATTACTCTGGCTTTTTTTTTTTTTTTTTTTTTTTCATAGAGACATATCAGAGCATCACAGAATACCAGAGCTAGAGAAAAACACAATCATATATCAATCCTCTCATTTTAGAGACAGGGCTCATTTTACGACACTCAGAGGGCTAAGCACACTATTATTCATTAGCCTAGATGAGACAGTGACTTAGGATTCCTACCTTCTTAAACTCCTAAAACAACTCTCTGTACACTTCCTCTGCTCTTCATCCAAGCCCCAAATAAAGCGAGCTACTCTTCCTCTTCCCTTATTGGTTTCAAATGCCTGCAATAGATATGTAATTCTGGCACTGACTCCTGATGCCAGAAGGCAGGGGCATGATGATAATGGAAGATTAGTGGATTCTATAGGAGAACCAAGAAGAATTTCATTTCTAATCCTTTCTCCTGGTTGATAATTAACAGTGTTCTTCAACTTTTTTTCCTGTGCTACAATCCAAGAGAACTACTATCTTAGCAATTCTATAGGAAAGAGGGGGTGGTCATCTATAGTTTGAAAAACTCCTGCACTCCTCCTCTCCTAATTCCCATGCTGTTACCATTCCTGCCTGCCTGGTAATGCTGACTCTGCCAATAACCAACCTACATAATCTCAAGCAAAGCAATTTTTCCTAACATATAAAATCAAAGAGTTGTATTAGGTGGTCTGGGGTCCCTTTCTGGTCTCAGTTTTTACAACCAGATAATTAAAATCTGGTTGATTGAAATTCATTGGTTAAGGGCAACCTGGAGTTGAGAAAAGAAAAGCAGCTTTATTTTTCCTAGAGTCAAACCAGGGTTTGAATTTTGGTTTTACTCCTCAGATATTTTGAGCATTTAATAAATAATAGTTTTAATTGTTGTGATATCTAAGATCCCTTACAGATCTGAGATTTCCTACATAGTGATTTCTTTTTCTTTCCTTTTTTTTTTTTTTACAAGGTTTAAAATTTAATTAGCAAGTTCCTGTTATGCAAACTCTGCTCATTAAACTAAGTGTCCCATTAGTTAAAATGAGCCCACAGCAGGCGGGTTGGATGTTGGCTGGGGCAGAGGGAGGGGAGACGGGATTACAGCGGCTTGGCTGGCAGGGTGGCCATAATTTAGGCGGGCAGAGCTCCCTCCCAGTCCCTCAGGTGACCTTGCATAGTGATTTCTTTGGTCAGAAACCATAACTCTCATTCCATTGTTTCTTACCTGATAAACTCCAGCCATAAAGGTTACGGTGCTGCCCACTGTAATTGCATAACAACTTCTGTCACATATCCTGTCTGATGTCTGGTTTAATGATGTGCTCCCATTCGAAGCCATTCCTAACGACAGGGCAACATGGGCAGTGTCAAAGCCAGCTTTGATTAGTTCTCGGTCAACTACCTCACCAATCATAAGGCACAGTATTCCAAAAATGCCCACAGAGATGTGACGGGAAGTCCCAAATATGAAATAAATGATGCTTGCAAAAAATGATGTGTACAGACCATAGATTGGTTCTTGGCCTGCTAACAGGGAATAAGCAATGGATTGGGGCACCAACAAGATGCCCACAATCAAGCCGGACATCACATCTCCTAAAATATTTTTCTTCAGGTCATATTTTGGGAGCCACTGCAAAAAGGGAAGGAAACCAAAAATCATCTGTTTTGCTTTGGTTGGGCTGCACTGGCAACTCTTCTGTAGTTTTTTGTTGATGAATTTCTTAAAGTTAGTATTTGATTTCTCTTTAGGCTCCATGTGGATCCTAGGATAATGTCTGCATTGATTTGTGGCTTCAAGTTTCTGGAAGTCAGTACTTGATTCCTTTTCAAGCTCCATATGGATCAAAGATGGAGGACTGTATTGGTCTTTTCCTTCAAATGGGTCCGTGGCGGAAAGGTCATGTTGCTCTGTATTTTCCGAAGACATTTCTGAAGACAGATACTTTCGCCTCCTACCCCAGAGAAAATACAGAGTTACTTCATTAAGTAATTCTCAGTGCTCAACATTTTAACAGCCCTACTTGTCATTCATGAGAGTTAAAAGGAGTTCAGTTTTGTGGTTAGGTATCTTATAGTCACATTTAGTTGAGCCTCATTTGTCTTGATAAAAAACAAATAAACAAAAAACAAAACAAAAAAAGAACCAGACAATAAACAGCCAAGTCAAAGCAAATAATTCACTGGATACAGGACTTCCTGAGAGTAAAAATCATTCAAGGATTCTTTTCCATCCCTGCCTGGTTCCCCCTATAATTTTTTCCTCCAGAGAGGGTATCAGGATGGTCTATTTCCTTCTTTCTATATGCTATCAACTATCTTCTTTTCAGGTTTTCACACCCAGATATGCTGTAAATAGGATCTGGTCCCAAACCTTCATCCACACCTGCAAGTCCCTAAAACAAGGAAAATGGTCTTTTTTCGGGGGGAGGGTGGTAGTAGGGGGGAGAGGCTCTTTAAATAACTCCCTAATTTGCTGAAAATAAACATAAAGAAGAAAAAGCAAGTGAAAGAGTAAAAATAAATGTTGTTGTGGTTTTGTTTGTTTGTTTGTTTTTAAAGAAACTAGGGCAGAATGCATTTAGGCCTTCGAACAACACTCCTTCACTTGGTAGGAAAGAGGATAGGGAAGTTGATACAAGATTATTAAGCATATGAATGTCAAGAGCCTGGGGGGGCTGATTGAGCAAGTGTCTGATATATGCTCCGGAACGTTTTGATCTAATCTACTCTCTTATAGTGTAGAGTCATATCTGCCCCGTTCATGCAAATAAAAGTTCGCTTTACTATTCTAAGTGCACACACTGAAGAGAGGCATAAGGTTGCTCTGTACTTCTACTTGGAGGGTAACTAGGTAGTCTTGCATCTCTGGGTCCTAAACTACAGAACTAATGCCATAAGACCTTTCACTAGTAACTATAGGAAAGAAGATAAAATTGACCAAAAAGAAGGGGCAACTATAACAACAGAAAAATCTTGTAATAAAAGAGGAGAAAAAAGCAAGAGGTTCTCAAAGCATTACACTGTTTACCAAATACTTCACAAATCAGAGTCTTTGTATTAGCTGCTTGGTTAACTTAGCATGGCCATCCACCTCTCTATCAATCATTTTTAAAACCCATTTAAAATTCAACCTCTTATACAAAGCACTGATCAATCTTTCCTAGCTCAAACAAATCATTATACCCTCTCCGTCCCAAAGCATTCTGCATTCTGTTCCAGTACCAACCACCCTCTTGTATTTGTTCAGTAGGATTCTCTCCAGCTCTGGGAGGAAAGGACATCTTTTCATCATTGTAATCATCAATTAATGAAATATTGTAACTCTCAGAGAACAGACTTATAAAAATTTTGGATGAATAAACAAATTTATGACTATAGCCAGAGAGAGATAAAATATACTAGATGGAGGAGTCAGGAAGTTTTCTGTTTTGGAACTGACATAAAAATAGGACCTTGTGAGGTTCTATAAACCCAATATTACCAAAATGTCATAGTCCAGGACCCAAGACCCATTTAAGAACACAAGATACGTAAAACTACCCCACATTTTGTTTAGGATGAATGGTCATCCCACTAAACAAAAGTAAAACAACAGATACTCTGATAGCTTTTTTAAGTAAATAAGGAAAAAAAGAATAGATTTAGATGGCCACATACCCTGAGCAAGTCAATCAGATTGGTGGATACACACCGGTCTTCATTCCTCAATGCAGCCAATCTGTAACTCTCTTCTCACTTCCTACTTTCAGGCCATTCTCTACTGCACTTCTTATGTTCTGTCATTCTGTTTTGGAATAACTCTTGGTGAATTCTGAATCAAAAGGTTTTTCCAAACCTAAGATATGCAAAAGAGACATAAGAAAAACATAACATATAACTATTTAGCACTTAAGTTTATGTGTCTCTCACACTAGAGTAACTAGACTAGAGTATACATTCAAGGACAAATACCAAGTTATTCTCATTTCCATATAACTCACCACTAACATGATGCCTCATGCCTGATATGTATGGCTATGTATCTGTTTATTGAAATGAACATTTGGTGAAGCTTCAAGTAAATATAATGAAGACCCCCCAAAAAAATCTTCCTTATATTCTGTTATCACAAATTATTAGTAATGTTCATTTATGCCTTTATGCAAAAAGAGCCACCATAAATAAGGCTTATATCAATAGTACAAGCACTAAGACATACTGATTCTAGTATAAAGCCCCATATAAAACAAAATAATAAAATACCCAAGAAGAAAATAACTTAATGTAAAATCATGATCAAATATATTAAACTAGAAGCCTGGTGCATAGATTCATGCACCAATGGGGTCCCTCAGCCTGGCTTGCAGGGATCAGGCTGAAACCGGCTCTCCAACATTCCCCAAGGGGGCCCAGATTGCGAGTGGTAATAGGCCAGGCCGAGGGGCCCACCAGTGCATGATCGGGGTGGTGAGAGACTACTGGAGGGCTCCAGGGAGTGTCTAGGATATCTTGGCCAGTCCTGACTGGCCGGACCCCAGCAGCAAGCTAACCTACAGGGTGGGGCATCTTCCTCCTGATGGTCAGTGCGCATCACAGCAACTGGATGAAAGGTTGAAAGGTCAGGCACTTAGCATATTATGCTTTTATTATATAGGACTAGAGGCCTGGTGCACGACATTCGTACACAAGTGGTGGTGGTGGGGCATCCCTTAGCTTGGCCGATGCTCTCTTGCAGTTCAGGACCCCTCGGGGGATGTCCAACTGCCAACCTAGGCAGTCAGACATCCCACGAGGGGTCCTTAGATCTGCAGCCGAGGTGGGAAAGGCTCCCACCACCGCCGCTGCACTCATCAGCTGTGAGCCGGGCTTCTGGCTGAGTGGCGCTCCCAGTGTGGGATCACAGTGACCACCACGGAGCAGCTCCTGCATTGAGCCTCTGCCCCTTGGTGGTCAATGCACGTCATAGCAACTGGTAGTTCCATGGTTCTGTCGATTTGCATATTAGGGTTTTATTACATAGGGTAGTTCCTTGCACAGTAATTCTCTGCTTTCAAAAATATTTCAAATACACCTCCCATTTGCCTCCTCAATAAATTTGAGAACAGCGTATGAATTCTATCTCTAATATGAGCAAACTCAAACTTTAGTCACTTGCTCAACTGGTAGAACCAGATTCCCAAACCTCATCTTCCAATTTCCAAGCTTAACTCTAAAATGCCACATAGCCCCTGGCAGGGAGTGAGCTATAAGGAATTAAGGGGAGAAAAAAAGGGCACATATGTAACACTTTGAACAATAAAGATTTTAAACCAATAATAAATAAGTAAATGGTTAAAAATAAACTACCAGATGGCCTCAAAATTTGTTTCCTTGCTAAGAGGTCTAGGAGCTAGTTCAAAGTAATACTCTGTGGCCAAGTTCTCAACACATTTCTGGATTATGATTAATTTTAATTGGTGAAGGGAGCAAACTGCTTGACTTAGGTTTGGTAAAAAGCTAAGAATGAAGTTACTTTTTACCTTTCATATTACACACCTGCATTGGTAATATTTTCATTTTATTTTGCCATTAGAAATAATGATGTAAAATTTATGTCTGTAGCATACATTTTGGTTAGAATAGTTTGTATCCCAGGCAATAGTCAAACAAGGCAAGCAGGCTCTTATTCCATTTACTTTTGCTGCCCCTCTAACTGGAACGCTAGAATTTTTTTCAAATTCGGCCTTAATCAGTTCCTTGCTAGACACGATATATAAAATAGCAGTACTGCCACCACCATGCTGCTGCTGAGCACATCCCTGCCTTCCACTCCTATCTCCTTTACTTTGCTCTATTTTTCTCCCTGACCCTCTCACCATCGCCTACCATGCACTTACTTTTTTTCTATCTTTCTCATGAGAGCAGTAATTTGCCGTTTTATTAAATTCTTAGCAAATATTATTGAGTGAATTAATAAATGAAAGAAATGGTTTTTTAAAAGGAGTTACCCCTCTCTGTCCATCCCCCCCCCCCCCCACACACACACACAATAACCAAGCTTGTGTCAAGACATTATACAGTTTGGCAAGTATCTGCCTGGGGGTTTATGCTCACTAAAAGTTATGTCAATAATAAAAAAATCACACCTAGTAAACCTAAACTAGATCTCAGCAAAGCCCTGTCATTTCCAGATCTTCCCCTAGGAGGCAGCACATTACAGTACTGTACTTTCTATATTAAACCAGAGATCTATTAAAATGCAGGTTCCCAGGAAAGTCCAAGGATGAGATCTAAGACTCTGCAGCCTAATGATTCTGAGCCAGCGAGCTGAAGGCCAAACTTGAAGAAGTACTGGGTATGATCTGGAGTCAGACAGATCCCAGCTATACGGTTAAACAACATGGCACTGGGTGAAAAACTTCGTTTTACTCAGCATCAGTTTCTCACCTATAAAATGGGGGCAGCATCACCTAACTTGCAGGCGTGTTAAAAAACTAACACAAGTAAAGCACCTAGCACACTGCCTGACATACAGCATTTGCTCAATAAATTATATCTACTAGTCTCTGACCCTTGAGAGTCGTGAAGGGGGGAAAAGGGCATCAGCAGGCGGGGGCCTGTGAGTTTCAGTTACTTGGTTTCCTTCCAAACAGATTTAGCTCTCCATTTCTTGACTCAATTATTTATTTATTTATTTTGAGTTAATCCTCCCCCAGGGTATTTTTCCATTGATTTTTAGAGAGAGTGGGAGGGGGAGAGACACAGAGAGAAACATTGATGTGAGAGAGACACATCAATTAGTTGCCTCTCCTATGCCCCCGACCCTTCAGTCCACCCACCCCATTCTATGCACCCCATTCTATTCTAGTCCGCCAACCAGCTAGGGCTTGACTCAATTTTCAAAAACAGGAACTTCTGCTTAACCTAATACTGGATAATCACATTAGTTCCAGATTTCACATAAAGAGCCCTAGGCACAAAGGTGTGTGTGTGTGGGGGGGGGGGGGCAGGGAGGGGGTGTCAGTGGTAATAGAATAGGTACCAGAAAGGAGTTTAAGTCTTAAATGCTTCTAACTCACGACAGTCCCCAATCCGTGCAAAGGAAGGGCCCAAACCGACATTCTGTGAGTTGGGGAGTACAAGCCCTAGCTCTGCAAATGATCTAGGCAAGGCCCTGGTTCTCGCTCTGTCCTTTCAGTGTCCCCATCTATTCACGAAAGAATCTCAAGTTAGCCTATGAATCTGCAAGAAGTATATACAGGTCCTGATGTATATTTCACCAGGTGTGTGATTTTAAAAAACCAAGACAATCAAGCCCTCTCTGGTGTCCAGGTCTCAGGTGTCCCCATTTGTGGGGGCGGAGAAAGAGGGTAGTGGTGGCAGCTCCTTCTCCTGGGTTTTGCTCTCAGAAACCTGGGTTCCCCATTGCTCGGTGAGGGCTTGGCGAGGGCTTGTCCGCAGAGCAGCACTCTTATCTGCGCCGAGCAGGAGGCGTGTGTGGACTGGAGGGAGGAGCCAAGCACGCCGCCGGAGGAGCGGGGCGGGGCCGGCCGACCAGGTGGGGAGTGGGGCTTTGACACCTGCCCTGCCCCGCCTCTGCCAACCCACGGAATGACCCCCGGCAATTGCCCTCGACGCCCTCGGCGATGGTTAGTCCTGGTTGGTCCGGGCTTCCTCCCAGCACGGCCGGGACCCAGGCCGGGACCACCCTAAGAGCAGCGGCAGGCCGCGCGGAGGCCGGCATCGTTCCCCCCCTTTCCCCCCCCCCCCGCCCCCGCCCCGCCCCGTCCCCTCCCCTCCTCTCACCTCTCAGGTCTGCGCCGCCCCGCGCCCCGATGCCCCGCGCAGCGTCTTCCGCGGTGCGGAGCAGAGGGCACACGACCGCGCGGGCAGTGGCCGCCGGCTCGGAGCCGGCCTCCCTTTTACCGGCTCGTTCCCTTCCCCGCCCATCTCCCGGCCCCAGGAGGCGGGGCCGGCGGCCAGGACGCGGGGGCGCGAGGCCAGGTAGCCGCCGAGGGGTGCGGAGAGCAATCCCCAGCGAAAGCCCGGCCGTGGCAGTCACGTGGCACCGCGGGCAAGAGACGCGGCCGCCGGCCAATGACCGGGCCGGGCTGGAGGGGGCGCCGCCCCCCCGCCGCGTTCCCCCTCGCGATTGGCTGACCTGGGCTGGAAGGCCACGCGTCCCGGATTGTGGGGAGGTCCCTGCTCCCTTCCTTCCCGAGGTGGTGAATCACGAAAGTGGGTGTTCACGGGTCTCCACCGTAACCGCGGAGGGCGGCGAGGAGACAGTGCCCAGAATGGCGCGGAAGCGCTCTGCCTCGAGCTGGAGAGGGATCTGCGTTTGCGAGGAGCATCGTCCTTGTATCTGACGCCTTGGGACCCGGTTCCTTCCCTCTCCCCTCACCCCCCTCCACTCCCCTGTACTGATGGGAAAACGGAAAGGCCGGCTAGAAAGTTAGATTTTCTGACCCGAGTGTAATTTATTATCCATCGAAGGGCCCAAGAGCCAGAGGCTCTTTTTAAAATGTAAAAAATAAAATAAAAGGTAAAATAAATATAAAATGTCATTCCAATTCTCCTCGGTGGCTTTCCTTGACATTTATAGGTAAACTAAAATCGTCCCTATTATCTTTAGGGTACTGGATGTTCTCTGGCTACTTCCGCCTGTGAGTGTCAGTTACCCGATTTTTCTTGTGTCTCAGGTCTTAGCCTAAAGGCCTGCTTTCTCCTCAGCGACACAGTCCTTGCCAGTCACATCCTATTATGCCCTCTTGATTTATCATCAGCCGGAACTGTCCACTCTCTGATTTATATGTATTTTTTTTATGAAAGGTCAAACTTAAAGGCCAAAGTTTGTTGTTAGTTTTTAAAACTTTATTTATTGATTTTGGTATTACATATGTGTCCTTATTCCTCCATTACCCCCCAACCTACCTCCCCAATTCATGCCTTCACAACCCAGTTGTCTACTATGTCCATTGGTTAGGCTTATATGCATGCATATAAGTCCTTTGGTTGAGCTCTCCCTCTTACCCCCACTCTCCCCAACCTTCCCTGTGATTTGACGTTCTGATGTTTCTCTGTCTCTGGATCTGTTTTTATTAATCAGTTTACGTTGTTCATTATATTCCATAAATGAGTGAGATCATGTGATATTTATCTTTCTCTGACTGGCTTATTTCACTTAGCATAAGGCTCTCCTGGCCTATCCATGCTGTTGCAAATGGTAAGAACTCCTTCTTCTTTACTGTAGGGTAGTATTCTATTGTGTAGATGTACCACAGTTTTTTAATCTACTCATCTGCTAATGGGCACTTAGGCTGTTTCCAAATCTTAGCTGTGGTGAATTGTGCTATGAATATAGGGATGCATATATCCTTTCTGATTCGTGTTTCTGTTTTCTTGGGATATACTCATAGAAGTGGGATCACTGGGTCATGGGAGTTCCATTTTTAGTTTTTTGAGGGAACTCCATACTATTCTCCACAGTAGCTTCACCAGTCTGCATTCTCAACAACAGTGTATAAGGATTCATTTTTCTCTGAATCCTGGCTAGCACTTGTCATTTGTTGAGTTGTTGATGATAGCCATTCTGACAGGTGTGAGATGGTACCACATTGTTGTTTTGATTTGCATCTCTCAGATGATTAGCGACTTTGAGAAGGTTTTCATATATCTCTTGGCCTTCCTTCTGTCTTTTGCTTTTTTAGTCTCTCTTTAAGTTCATTATTGGTGTCTAGAAATGCCTTTGATTTCTTGGCATTAATTTTGTATCCTTCTACATTGCTGAATTCATTTATTAAGTCTAATAATTTTTTATAAAGTCTTTAGGGTTTTCTATGTATAATATGTCATCTGCAAATAAGGACAGTTTTACTTCTTTTCCAATTTGGATGCCTTTTATTTCTTTTCTTGTCTGACTGCAATGGCTAGTACTTCCAGCACTATATTGAACAGGAGTGGTGAGAGTGGGCACCTTGTCTTGTTCCTGTTCTTAGGGGAAATGGTTTTAGTTTTTGCCCATTGAGTTTAATGTTGGCTGTGGGTTTGTCATAGAAAGCTTTTATTATGTTGAGGTATGATCCTTCTGTTCCCACTTTGCTGAGAGTTGTTTTTTTTTGTTTTGTTTTGTTTTGTTTTTTATCAAGAAAGGGTGTTGGATTTTGTCAAATGCTTTTTCTGCATTAATTGATATGACTATGTATTGTTAGTTTTATTAGGTTTTTTTGTTTGTTTGCTTGCTTATTTAGCTTTTCATGAATAGACAGATATGACTGGAATCTAACAGTAATTTCAAGCAGATTTGATAATTTACCAGCAGAATAACTTTGATGCTTTTGAAAATATTGCTAAGAGCAGACATCTCAACGAGGGTTGTCATTAGTCAACTGTTCAGCTTGACATTCTTTTTCAATGTTGAGTCAAGAGTGCACGGGAGTGTGTTTTCAAGTTTTCTTTGAAGATTCTTTATATTTTCCCCAGTGTACCTGCTTTTAATTTAAAAATAAACATGGCATTCTAAATTTAGGACTCAAACATATCCTTACTTGATTTTGATGTTGAGTATATATTAAGTTGTTCATTCTTCTCCTTGTTTATAGCCTATGGAAGCATACTGGGTGGTAAAGTAAGAAGACTGTGAAGGAAGCAAAATGGTTAATTTCCCTTTCCAGTGAATCTCTGCATAGTCATTTAAGGAACTCCCTTTCTTATCTAGAGATGATCCTCAAGTTTCTGTCACCTACCAGATACAGGGCTTCCAGAACCAGAAGCCATATCAGGAAACCAGAACACCTGGGTTCACTCCTGACTCTACTACCACTTATGACTAGAGACAAATCACTTCATTTCAATGGGCATCAATGTTCTCACCTTTTATAGAGCCTGTCTCCAGTCTTGAGGGTCAAGTAAGACTCTATAAGCTGCAAGATAAGCAGAATGGCAACAGCTGCCAATTTCTGGATATTTACATATGGATGCATAAACTCTTCACATTCACTTTCTTATTTAATCCTCACAGCAGCTTTTGACAAAAAGAGGTGTTATATTATGTTCTTCCTTTACAAGTGAGGAAATGAGACTCAGAGATGTTAGGTGATTTACCCTAGGTCCCATAGTTAGTGACAATAGCATGATTTTCACCCAGTTACATCTGACTGCAAAGCCCACTCTTAACCACTGCACTCACTGTGTTAGCCAGATGGAAGAATCCAACCCCATGTTTCCCTGGAATAGACAGCAATAAAGACTGGCTCAATTTAATAATGGTTATAATTTTCTTTCTCTTATTTCAGGTGATTTAATCGATATTACAGACGAGAAAAGTGAGGCTCTGAGTATTAAATTACTTAATAAGGTCATGCAATTGACAAGTAGTGAATTTTGAAGTGGCCTTTAGAACTGGGAGCTATCAGATGCATGTGTGTCAATGACCCAATGGAAAGGATGGTTCTGGAGAGGAAGCTTTGGGTCAGCCTGTCTCCCTGCCAGTTAGCCACCCAGGCTGCTATTTAGTGCCATGGTCCATTCTCCCCCTCCTCCATCCTCTCCCCATGTATGGGACTGCATGGAACTGAATTGTGGTCTGCCATTCTTACCTTACCTTGACCAAAGCCCCAGCTCTCTGCAGTGGGAATCTAAGATGAAACAGATAACCAAATCCCTGCTAATGGAGAGCTGGCTAATAATCTGCTTTTCCTTGATAATAGCAGGTCAGCACCCCAACCAGCCAGAACCCAGATCGCTTTACCCCTCCCATCTAAGCCTGAGTATTTTTCCTCCTGTTCACAAGGGTGACTGGCAGGCGGAGGCTTATATTTACAGTCATTACTCTGTTCCAAACTGCTTTCCAATGAGAAACTAATGGTGTAGTAAGTAGGGGTTGTTTGGGTCAACAAATAAGTCATTTCAGGACAGAGGCCACTTCAGGACTCACCTCCTCAGCACTATTCCCAAGAAGTACAGGTCACTTCCTCTGAGGCCCCAAAATAGTGGGCTCCAAACTGACTACCATTATTGAATGGGTTATTCCTAATTTGCTGTTCTCATTCATTCTCACTACTAATGCTTTACTTTAAACACACACACACAGCCCTAACTGGTTTGGCTCAGTGGACAGAGCAATAACCTGTGGATTGAAAAGTTCCAGGTTCGATTCCAGTCAAGGGCATGTACCTTGGTTGTGGGCACATCTCCAGTACAGGGTGTGCAGGAGGCAGCTGATGGATGTTTCTCTCTCATAGATGTTTCTAACTCTCTATCCCTTTCCCTTCCTCTCTGTAAAAAGTCAATAAAATATATTTTAAACACACCACACATTTGTTCTTGGAAACAGGTAACATGCAAGTATATTAAATTAAAAAAATCAGTGTTTATAACAAAAAGTAAATCTCCCTCTAACACTTCTCATTCTTACCCCAGTGTCCCTTTCTGGAGGCAAACAGCATCATTTTCCTATGTTGCCTTCCGGGTTATTCTATATTAGCAGTTCTCAATTCTGGTTGCACATCAGAATCTCTTGGAGAATAGTTTTTATTTTTTATTTTTAATTGATTTTTAGAAAGAGAGGGAGGGAGAGAGAAACATCCATTAGCTGTCTTCTGCATGCCCCCTACTGGGGATCAAGTCTGAAACCCGACATACACCCCGTCAAATAATCTAATCTGGCAACCTTTCGGTACATGGGATGACACTCAACCAACTGAGCAATACAGGACAGGGCTCTTGGAGAACTTTTAAAAGATAACAATGTTTGGGTCCCATCCCCAGATATTATGATTGAATTGGTGTAGAGTGGGATCAAGCATTGATAATATTTTTAAGCTTCCCCCCCCCCGCCCCCAACCAGGAGATTCTAATGAATACCCACAGTTGGCAAACCAGAGTTCTATGCATAAACAAGAATATATATATCTATCTACACTAATAAAAGAGAAAATTGCTAATTGTACCTTCGCTATGTCCACAGCCAATCAGAGTGTGTATGCAAATTAACCCAACAAGATGGAGGTTAATTTGCATATGCAGGCTGGAGCAGTGTGAAGCCTACTATGAGAGAAGGT